TGTGTGTGTGTGTGTGCACCAGCAGTGAGTGTGTGTGTGTGTGTGTGTGTGTGTGCACCAGCAGTGAGTGTGTGTGTGTGTGTGTGTGTGTGTGTGTGTGTGTGTGCACCAGCAGTGAGTGTGTGTGTGCGTGTGTGTGTGTGTGTGTGTGTGTGCACCAGCAGTGAGTGTGTGTGTGTGTGTGTGTGCGTTAACCCCAGAGGTTCCCCGAGGCCTGCATGAGCGAGGCAGAACTAGAAGGTTTCTACAGGAAGTTCGGTCCAGTCTCCATCTAATCAGCTGATGGCTCACCTGTGTCAGGCACCTGTTCGGCCATCTTTACCTCACTGGGGAAGGAAGAGCTTGTCAGTCAGAGGACTCGCCAAAATAAGAGCATGCTATGAAAGTAACAAAAGGATTTAGTTTTGTTTGGCGGACCTGAAGGTCTCCGCATGTTTCTGATGTAAATGTGAAAAACGCCATCGTTCCTGAGTTTTCTCATCATCTCCGGTGAACTCTGACTCAAATCCAAATGGAAGCTCGTGTGTTTGATGTTAGCTCTTGTGACCTGCAGCTCCTCAGGAACTCTCTCTGTTTCACTTCCGTTCCTCTGCTCATCATGTGAGTCAAGAAGAAACCACAAACAGAGCGTCAGCAGTGGGCTGACTGAGGATGTGTGGCGACGCATGAACTCAACTAAATCCAGAACAGCAGCAGGAAGCTAACAGCCATCAAAAACAAGTAAAGGTCACAGCAACAGCTGACCTGCCAGCCCAGCTGATTATGGGGGTTTGGGTGACACGGCTCATCCGGCGTGGCGATGCAAGAAACCATCTGAATGTGTCCAAGCACAGAGAACTGTTTCCACCCGGACCGTTTTAGATGTGACACACTCCGAGCCACGCCCTGTAGGCCTCCTTCTTCAGCCTGACGGCTGAGGTCCTACCTCAAGTGGAGGAGTTTAAGTATCTCGGGGTCTTGTTCACGAGTGAGGGTAGGAGGGATCGGGAGATCGACAGGCGGATTGGTTCGGCGTCTGCAGTGATGCGGACGCTGAGCCGATCTGTCGTGGGGAAGAGGGAGCTGAGCCAGAATGCCAGGCTCTCGATTTACCGGTCGATCTACGTCCCAATCCTCACCTATGGTCATGAGCTTTGGGTAATGACCGAAAGAACGAGATCACGGATACAAGCGGCCGAAATGAGTTTCCTCCGTAGGGTGGCCGGGGGGGGGGGCTGGTGCCTATCTCCAGCAGTCAACGGGCAACCAGGCGGGGTACACCCTGGACAGAGAGCCAGTCCATCGCAGTTTGGACTGTGGGAGGAAGCCGGAGAACCCGGAGAGAACCCACGCATGCACAGGGAGAACATGCAGAAAGATCCCAGGCCGGGAAGCGAGCCCAGGACCTTCTTGCTGCAAGGCAACAGCTCTAACCACTGCGCACCACCCCGGATGATCAGCTCAGTGGCCTAGTGGTAGAGTGTCCGCCCTGAGACCGGGAGATCAGGGTTCGATTCCTGGTCGGGTCATACCAAAGACTTTGAAAAAATGGGACCCAATGCCTCCCTGCTTGACACTCAGCATTAAGGGGTTGGATTGGGGGGTTAAACCACCAAATGGTTCCCGAGCTCGGCTGTGTCTGCAGCTCACCGCTCCCCCAGGGGATGGGTCACATGCAGAGAACAAATTTCACACACACACCTGTGTGTGTGACAACTAATGGGACTTTAACTTTAACGTATAAACATGAAGCATGAATCTGATTGGTCTTTGGATGTTTAATCAGAAGACGTTAGGTTCTTTGACTTATTCAGGGACCACCCACTTCCTACTAACCAGAGTCAAGAATACAGTTATAAAAACGACCGTACGTGACAAATGAGCTGATGGTTGTTCAGACAGCAGATGATGGATGAACTGATGGAATAGACGCTAGATGTTTTAGCAGAACCTTTCTACGTATCTGAGAGGGCGTGTGGCGTCTGGCTGCTGAACTCTGTTTGGCTGTATGCTCGATAAGCTAAAGTTTGTCCGACACAATTTGTGCCGATCCACGCACCCTTGTGTGAAGATCCCCAAGCGATCCAGGGGGTCAGGAGGTCGAGATGGACACTGCTGATGGCGTGGACCTCTGGTAGCGGCGCTGGTAGGCAGCTCAGAGTACGACCCGCCTAGTTTGGGTGATCTCCAGGTGACGGCAGGAAGCTGGAGTGTCTATTTTGCTTCTGAGGTGTTGGGTGGCTCTTAAAAGTGGTCGCTGCGTCTGTAATCACTCACAGGCGTCGCAGAGAGGCTTTGACCTTGAGGTCAAAAGACAGGATGGTCTCATAATGCCTGTTCACCGGTGGGCCGAACCGGGATGCAGCGGGAGAACTGACCAGATCAGGAAGTGATTCCTGTTTTTATCAACTTTTGTTTCTAAATTTGGGAAATCAGAATACGACACATTTTAGAGGTGTTAACAAAATGGCTCCGAAACCCCGCCCTCACTCAGACCCTCAGAGACTCTTATTGTGAAGTGAACGTTAAACATTAATAATAACTTATGGTGTGTGAGTAAAGTGCTAGATTAAACACTGATCTGGTGTAGTTTAGATCTGAAACGAATCTTTGCAGGAAAAACATTCATTTTAACACGTCACCGATTAAAGCACCCATTACTCACACACTCTGGGATTTAAACATCGTGTTCATGCACGACATTTGATTATATCAACCTATAAAGTTGTAAAGCCGTTTATGAGTTAAGGAAGTGAACACATGAACTCTATTTGGAGTGAAAGAGCTGATCGTCTGGTTTTCTGCGTGACTTTAGCTCCAGCCACGATAAGGCAGCTAGTTTTATTATGTCTCTTTATCCGGTGACAAGACCTCGTTTGGAGGCCAGACAGACGGGATGTGTGACGCAGTTTGTGTCTGCAAACTAAAAAGTTCATTTCTGTTCATTTTGATGAAATAATTCACCTTTGGGTTCGCTACACACAATAAGGAAAATTTGCCTTAGAACCCAGATGAGCAGCGGCTCTACACAGAGCCCCTCCCGGGTATGGTAAATGGTAAATGGCCTGTATTTGTATAGTGCCTTCTTAGGGTTATTTTACAACTGTGACAGGATTACCTGTGTGTCGTTCACACAGAAACTCACTGCAGCTCATTGAGAGGTTGGATCTGAGAGATAACCTCCACAACAGAGCCAGATCTACGGCGGTCACATCTCTCACTGATGTGTGTTTCTAAGGAAAACACACACATTCCAGCTGCTTGAACCTAACGCAGCTGAAGGTCAACCTGCAACAGCTCCGACCGCTGATCACTCATCAGTTGACTATAAAAAATGAAAAGATGTGTAGGTTGGCAACGTTCGTGTCTCTTTAAGAAGCTGTCCCACCTTAAGTCATGTAAATCACGTGACAGCGCCATCTAGTGGACTACTTTAGTTTGTGCGCATACCTGTAGTCATCGACTATTCATCGTTATCGAGGTGAAACCCTCAGTAGATGGTGACCCTGGTTTTAGGCCACACCGCCCAGCCCTAGCACGACTACGGCTTTCTGTTCTCGGCTCTACTTCCCGTAAAACAAAGTAATCGTAGGCCTCCAGATGCTTTAAAGCCTTTACTTTTATGATCCAGAGCACAGGGCTTTCTGAGGAACAGCAGTAAATGTCTCCCCAGCAGATTAGTGAGAAACTACCAGCAAACGGGACCGATGCCTTTCGTCGTCCCAGAGCTCACACGGGCTTTAAGCTTCTCTCTAAACCTCCGCCGGTCTCTAGACGCTAACGTGTTTGAATATCAAGGATTTTTCCCCCAAACCCTCTTAAAAGTTTACGTCGCGTATTGATGGTGATTGACGGCCATTTAGTGTTTGTTTTTGCCGCCCAGCCACTCGCGCATAAACACAAAGAAAATGTCGACAAAGACCCTCCCATCACGTGCCTTTAGTTCGAGAAGATTTTGTATTTTATTTTGGCGGAGCAGGGGGTTTAACGTTAGCGTTAGCTTCAGTGTTTCACATCGTGGTTAATAGTGCTTGAGCACTTGTGGGCGAGTTAGAGGCACGGTAAACGGGTTACTGACTTACAGCGACACCGCACTGTTGCAGCGGTGAGAATGAAGAAAACACGTGATGCCAGAGCCAATCAGAGACGGGGAAGCAGCAAGCTAGCAGGAGCGACAGCTGCTAACCTCAGAAATCTACTGGATATATATCTATGTAGATCTGAACATGACTGGGTCATCTGTGTCGTGTTTACATGAAATCAGTGTTTTAATTAACTGATGGAAGCACCCTCAGTCCTGAAAACATGCTTTCTATACAGAAGACCAGGACCAGGACCTGACCTGGACCAGACTCGAACCAGATCAGGACCAGGACCTGACCTGGACCAGACTCGAACTAGACCAGGACCAGGACCAGGACCTGACCTGGACCAGACTCGAACTAGACCAGGACCAGGACCAGGACCTGACCTGGACCAGACTCGAACCAGATCAGGACCAGGACCTGACCTGGACCAGACTCGAACTAGACCAGGACCAGGACCAGGACCTGACCTGGACCAGACCTGGACCAGGACCTGACCAGACTCTAACCAGACCAGGACCAGGACCTGACCTGGACCAGACTCGAACCAGACCAGGACCAGGACCAGGACCTGACCTGGACCAGACCTGGACCAGGACCTGACCAGACTCTAGACTAGACTCGAACCAGAACCTGGACCAGACTCGAACCAGAACCTGGACCAGAAAAGGACTAGGACCAGACCTGGACCAGACCCAGACACAAAGGAAGTGCTCACAGCCAGAAGCTCTGAGATGCTCTCGCTCAGCCTGGCCAACAGAAGCTCCCTCACCTTGATGGGCTCTGTGCTGAATCGGATCTTCCTACTGGCCGGTGCAGGCTCCTCCTCCTCAGGAAGTCCAGGAATTTCAGAGCAACTGCTCTCTGGTTGATACGCCTCTTCATCTTCTTCATCCTCCTCCTCGTCATCCAGCTGGCTTCCCCCAGAGTCCTCCTCCCCAAGCCCGCTGTACGCACTGACTTCGACCAGATCTCCTTCTGAATAGTCCTCCTTTCTCGAGCCATCCTCCTCCTCCTCGTCCCTCCATTCAGAGTCTGCTGCTGTCACGTCTGATGATGGAGGGAAGGATGACGCTTCTTTTTCTCCTTTTTCAAAAGGAGCATGAACCTGGGCCTCCACTAACCTCCCTCCCGTCTCAGTCCCAGGTGAGTGGTCCTGGTCCAGCTCAGGACCAGCACCTGCAGTTACAGACTGGACCCTGGATTCAGATTTATCCTCGGATGAAGAGGAAGCGACAGTCGCTGAGGAACACTGTCCAATCCCACCAGGAGGTGGTCCCTCTGGGCTCCTCGGTGTAGAACCCTCTGGTAGATCTGCTGCCTGGGTGTCCGTAACTCTGGCAGCTTTGTCCTCCTTCACCTCCTTACCTGAAGGTGGCGCCTTTACCCAGGAGAAACACAGTGATGGTGAGGTGGATGAGTGAATGCAAAGAATTTAAAACGTTTTAATTCTCACCTTCTTGTTGGCCGTATCAGCTCTGGAGGCCATCTTGGGCTTGGGTGCCAAGGCCGGTGCAGACCGACAGCGGGGAGCATGGATGTTATTCTGTAGGTCGCCCTTTTCAAACGCAGCACTCAGCTGGCTAACGGTAGGGCTGACGGCGTCACCGGGGGCGACCGGAGCAGCAGTGGAGGGAACCGTGGTGGGAGAAGGAGGGTCGTCCAGCCGGTCCAGAGCTTCTGTAGATCCGTTAAAACGAGCCACGACATCCAGACGGCTGCCCTGGAACCCTGACGCACGCTCCTTCTTTAACAAGATACGGTTCGTTGCAGCTTGCTTCTCCTGACGAAAACACGGTTCAGCTTCAGGACAACTGCATTTAGAAACCTGGGGCCTCATTTATCAAGCTAGCTTACGCACAAAACGGGGTTGGAAAACTGCGTAAGCAACTTTCCACGCAAACTTTGGGATTCATGAAAGAAAACGTAGCGGGAAAAATGTGCGCAACATTAAGTTGACTAAGGACCTGGCTTACACACATGTTGGACAAGGAGAGCACCTGCAGTGCTGCTGCTGAGAAGGTACAGTTATCCTGCAGCATTATCACTTGTACCGCTTCATTTTCACACAGAACCAGTAAACCATTTTTTATATCCGCCACAGATCTCTCTGAAGAACTCACAACATTGACGGCTTCAGCAACGCTGTGCCACTCCGTGGATTTTCTCTTATTTGTTTAGCAAAAGTACTTCCTTTCATTTCTCCACCTCACCCACAGGACCTCAACTTCTGCTTGTGTGAAGTAGCGCTTCCTTGATCTGCCTTGATCTACGGTCGCCATGTCATTGGCGGAGCGCTGCAACAGTCGGCTTATGTATATGCATGAGATCCACAAGGCACTTTGCATTGACCATTTATGGCAGTAAGTGGGCGTGGTGAGGGCGAGATGTGACTAAAATTCAGCTGAGAAACATTCTCGTTAGTCTCTGATTTATGAAGCGGAGACTGCGTGCAGCTGTGCGTCCTCCATGTTTGATAGATCACACACCTGCTTGGCGTAAGTACATTTTTTTTGCTGAGCTTAAGTACGGTTTTAGTAAGGATTCTAAGCCATGTTTGATAAATGAGAGCCCTGCTCATTAGAAGCTTCACTTACCTGTAGGGTTTGCTGCTCAAAGATCCTCCTGGTCTCCTGGAGCTTGGACAGTCCGATAGAAGAGGCTCCGTCGGCTCCTGCTGGTTTAGAGTCAAACCGGTTCACCCGCTCCGAGACCGTGGCTCCCAGTTTGAGCAGGGCGCTGTGGTTGACGTTCTCGTTGAGACTAGATGCCCTCGGAAGGGACAGCTTCAGCTCCTCCTCTTTTCCTGCAAATGAGCAGAAATCAGAAAAACTCATCATAACTATTCCAAAAAATTATTGGAAGCTTCCAGAGCCGCTGCGGTCTGAGCAGCATCAGTGGAAACATTCCTTACAGTCTTACAGTGGGGAGATCCATGCGTCCCAACAGCCAGGCAGAGGTGGTAATAACAACAAGAACAATATTAGTAGTAATAACATCAACAACAACAATATTAGTAGTAATAACAACAACAATATTATAGTAATGATGATAATAATACAACAACAATAAAAGTAATAATACTAAAACCAACAAGAACAATATTAGTAGTAGTAATAACAACAAGAACAATAATAGTAGTAGTAGTAACAACAACAAGATTACTAGTAACAACAACAATAACAATAATGTTATTGTAATGTTTGTATTGTTATAGTAATGATGATAATAATACAACAACAATAATAGTAATAATACTAATAACAATAATAACAAGAACAATATTAGTCATAGTAATAACAACAACAATAATAGCTGTAGTAGTAACAACAACAACAAGAGTAGTAGTAACAACAACAATAATGATAGTAGTAATAACAATAATAACAACAACAACAATATTAGTAGTAGTAATAACAACAACAACAATATTATAGTAATGTTGATAATAATACAACAATAATAGTAATAATAATATTAACAATAACAACAATATAGTAATGATGATAATAATACAACAAAAATAATAGTAATAACAATAATAATAACAAGAACAATATTAATAGTAGTAATAACAACAACAACAATATTATAGTAATGATGATAATAATACAACAACAACAATAGTAATAATACTAATAACAATAATAACAAGAACAATATTAGTAGTAGTAATAACAACAACAACAATATTATAGTAATGATGATAATAATACAACAACAATAATAGTAATAATACTAATAACAAGAATAACAAGAACAATATTAGTAATAGTAACAACAACAACAATAATAGTAGTGATAATAATAATAATAACAACAATATTAGTAGTAGTAATAAAAACAACAATATTATAGTAATGATCATAATAATGCAACAATAATAGTAATAATAATAATATTAACAACAACAACAATATAGTAATGATGATAATAATACAACAACAATAATAGTAATACTATAACAATAATAGTAATAACAACAACAATGGTTATAATAACAACAATATTAGTAATAACAACAACAATAATAGTAATAACAACAACAACCACAATAGTAATAACAACAATAATAATAGTAATAACAACAACAATAATAGTAATAACAACAACAATGGTTATAATAACAACAATAGTAATAATAATAACAACAATAATAGTAATAACAACAACAACAATATGTAAGAAGAAGAGGTTATTACATTCATTTAATGAGCCGTAAGGCGTGGGATTCCATAGAAAATATAGAATCCACCTTACGGATCGAGGGTTATTTAAACCAGAAGATTGGGTCATTTTATTGCAGAGATTATGTAACCGTTATGTATTCACTCAGAGACACAGAATAGAGAGAGTCGAGTTTAAAAGTTAAGAATTTTATTACTAACAATTTAACTAGACTGACTTTAGACTAAATGTATAGTGTAACTAAAAATGGATGAGACGGTGAATGGACGACGTGTCATGTAATCAGAACCAGCAAATCCGAAGAAGCGATTAGTTCTGACGGGAACTGAAGATGTTGTTTTGAATTAAGCTTTGGATAGTTTCAGAAACGCATGAGACGCCATCAAGTCAGTCTACCTGCCTTGTGGAAGTCCTCTGTAGATCAGGAATGTTGAGGTCCAATGAACCCTCTCTGGAAACCGGGCCGGTAGAAGAAGCCGCGGTTCCGACCAGACCCGTCTTGAGTTACACGTTATTGGCGTCTGGTCAGACCCAAACCTGGGTTGGTAGATGGAGCTTTTATTCTGAAAGGAGCTGTTGTTGCCGCTGGTTGTTATAGCGACTGGATTTTTCAGCTTGTAGTGGTTCTTTCGGTTGAAGAGTTAAAGGTCGGATTGGCCACTCCGTCGCTTGCTCTGGAACGCTTTGAACTGGCGTTAGAGCTGACGTGGCATAGTTTTATACCTCGGATGTTATGGTTTAATGTTGAATGAAAATTACCAAACACCATCAGAAGCACGCCTCCATCAGATCTGTAAAGTTCTGATTGGATCAGTGAAAGGAATGTGTTGTGTCCTTTTAACACTACGTGAAATGAGTCCTGTTGGAATCCTTAAAGTTACAGTACTTATTATTTCTATAGGATCATAATAAAGTAATTAATATTTTGATTTCACAGGTCGGTCACATCTTATTTATTGACTAACACTTTGATGGATTAGCTTTATTAAAATAGAATTCTTTGATTAATTAAAAGAAAAGAGTCCATTCTTCGTTCTTCTGTCTTCATTGCTGGAACGTAAACAGTTTAGAAACGAATGCATGACCTTGTGGCTGTTTCATGCACTCTGGCGCTGTGTCAAAGGGACCGTGAAAAAGATTAAATAACCTTGGTGGAAATAGCTCCTTCATCACGTTACAATAATAATATTAATAACAACAACAATAGTAATAATAACAACAATAATAGTAAAAACAACAACAATATAGTAATAATAACAACAACAATATAGTAATAACAACAATAATGACTGAGCTCTGTAAAATCACTGCTATTCTCAAAAAGCCAGGTGCGGATCCCACCAACTTTGATAATCTTGGTCTAGTTTCTAAATTACCATTTATTTCCAAAATCCTTGAAAAAGTTGTTGCTTCTCAGCTTCACTCTTATCTCAATTCTCATATGAACAATTCCAATCTGGTTTCAGACCACAACACAGCACGGAGACAGCACTAGAAACAATCACAAATGATCTACTAATGGCAGCAGACTCAGGCCATCTCTCCATTCTGGTTGTACTAGATCTAAGTGCTGCATTTGACACCACTTCTCACAGCATACTTCTCAAAAGATTAGCATCTATCGGCATGAGTCACACATCCCTAGCCTGGTTCACCTCATACACATCGGATCGTACTCAGTTCATTCAACTTCAGTCTCACTCTTCTAGTCCTTCCCCGGTTACTGCAGGAGTTCCCCAAGGCTCAGTTCTAGGCCCTCTTTTATTTATCATCTATTTGCTCCCCCTTGGTTACATTTTCCGCAAATACAACGTTGATTTTCACTGTTATGCTGATGACACCCAGCTGAACATTTTCTCCAATCCAAATGCATGCCTTCCACCACTCTCCCTCTCTAACTGTCTATCTGAAATTAGATCTTGGCTCTCTCAGAACCTACTTAAACTAAACAGCAATAAAACTGAACTCCTACTCATCGGCGCCACTTCTGTTTTAAAAAATTCTCCCAACTTCTCTATCGATATTGACGAGTCCACAGTTCACCCATCCTTACAGGTAACAAGTCATGGTGTCATACTAGACGGTGCACTTTCATTCCAATCTCACATTAACCGTGTTACTCGAGTCACATATGACCGTCTTCGCAGTATCAACAGACTCCGTCCTTTTCTCACGCCTCATGCTGCTGCAATCCTCGTTCATAGTCTCATCACCTCTCGCGTCGACTACCGTAACTCCCTTCTGTTTGGTCTCCCAACTAAATCCCTTCATAAACTCCAACTTCTCCAGAACTCTGCAGCAGCATCATTACTGGGACCCCCTCAAGAAATCACATCACTCCTGTTCTTAAAAACCTACACTGGTTGCCAATAGAAACCAGGATCACATACAAGATCCTACTACTTACATTTAAATCTGTACATAGCACGGCTCCACTTTATCTATGTAACTTACTAACTATTGCTACCACTTCCCGATCTCTTAGATCCTCATCTGCACTTCGTCTGGTTCAACCTCGAGCTCGCCTTACCACCATGGGGAGCAGAGCTTTCAGTTGCTCTGCTCCCCGGCTCTGGAACTCACTTCCCTCTGCCGTTAGAAATACGGACTCTCTTCCATTATTCAAGGCACACCTCAAACCCACTTATTCAAACAAGTTTATTCCCTTTAGACCTAGACTTTAGAACTGTTTCAAATTTTTATGTATCTTGTTTGTTCTTTTTGACCTCTCTCACCTCTGTTGTTTTTATCTTTGTAAGGTGACCTTGGGTTTGAGAAAGGCGCCCTCAAATAAAATGTATTATTAATGTTATTAAAAGAAACAGCCAAGATCAACAGAATTGTTAAAGTTGTAGCTGTTTGCTAATTAAAGGTATCCATGGTAACCTAACAGCTATGTCTTCCTGACAGGAGCCGGCCTTAGACACACAGAAGTTATTTTGACTCTGAAATTGGAAAGATCCTTACCGATCATTTTGGCTCCATCCTCCTCATCACCTGGAGACTGCATCTGCATGAACATGTTCTTGATGCGGTGGACGTTAGAGCCGTACCTCCTGCCTCTCCCGGTTGGGCGGGGCAGGAGAGCAGGTTTCGAGGCAACATCAACACCTCTGTTAGCAGCATTGTTGAGGTGGTCAGTGGCCTTCTTCAACGCCGCCAGCCCCGCCTCGTAAGCGTTTTTCTGGCGTGGGGGACTCCGCAGATTAGAGCTCCCGCTGTTCCCACCAGAGGCCCCGTTCCCTCCCGGGGCTGGCGGGGGCTCGTTCTTCATCATGTTGGAGAGTCAAAAGCTGCCAGACGGTCAGCAGGGATGTGGGGGGAGAGGCAACTGCATCTTGAAGCTGTGTGACCTTCAGCACCTGGAGCAAACAGAGATCAGCTGTTTTTCTGTCAACACTTCAGGAGATGCACCGGTTTAGGATCTCAGAGTCGATTCCAATTTGTGATCCTCATCCGGCTCTGACCTGCAGACGCTGATTTAATAGAACACTCATGTCAGGATTGTGACTCCAACCAGACACTTCCTGTTATTGTTATTATTTTTCAGATGGAACCGTCACTGATGGATTACCACAAAACGCTTTGGTTTCTTTCTATTTTTTCTTTTCATTTTCAAAGCTCGAGCTAAAGCTAGCTTCGTGCTCAGTGACAAACAGTGTGTATGTGTGTATGTGGGGGGGGGGGGGGGGGGGGGCATGCTGCCTTTTAGGTTACATTAACACAACATGCACCTCCTTCGAGTTCAACCCAAAACCAGCACAGGAGGTCCGGCGGTGTGTCAAAGCCAAGTTCTCTCAGATTTAGCGCCAACGTTCCCTCCGTGGTCTTCTTTCATCAAATCTACAATTCAACTGAAATGAGCCGTGATTAAAGCAAACCCGGTGAGAGTAAACACAGAGAGTTGTTGGTATTTTGGTTCCTCAGTTGGAAGCTAATCTCTGAACTTATTAAACATAAAACCGTTATAACAATAAATAAGACAACATGCTGCTGAAAGGCATTGTGGGAAATCAGAAAGACCGTTTACAGTGCTGTCTGTTCCATGTCCTGGTCCTGGTTCCGTCTGATCCTCACTCCCAACTTCCCCTTTCTGCACAACCACCCAGACTTTCACCGTTTGGCGATGCAGCCAAAGGCTAGACCTTAACTCACAGGTATCAAACTCAGGCTCTCGGGCCAAATTTGGCCCATGGACTAGTTATATTTGGCCTGCTAGATCATATATCAAATATGTATTAGAACTGGCCCGCCGGCTCATTTGCTGCAAATGCTACAAATCCCATAGCGCTTTGTAGCATTAGCGAACCCATCTTTTCCTGTTTACTGTCATTAGCGTCTATGCTACCAGTCTCTGCGTCTGCAGCTGTATAAGGAGCCTAAGTCACTTCCGCATCGTGGGTCCCCGGAAGAACGAAACAATGATGCAAGTCAATGGGGCTAAAAGCTATTTTCTAGCCCGCTCTGCCTTACGCCCTGGATCACACATATGTTGTACTACAACTTCAATGAAAAGTAATGATGGTATTTCGACCACACCAGTCACGTACTTTGAGATTCATCAGCTTGTAAAAGTCTGTAGTTAGCATGACTACAAACTAGAAATCGGCACATCGCATATGTAGCGATGGGTACCGAATTCGGTACTTTTTAAGGTACCGACCAAATTCCATAGTACCGACTGAGCATCGTCATTTGAAACGGTGCCTCGTTTCGGTACCCGTCCTTCATAACAAGAACTTGCCTAGACAGCTGCGCATGCGCAAGAGCGTTATGTCGTCGGTCGCTGCGAGCCAGTTGTAAACAGAGCAGCATGGTGGAAAGAACGCACGCTAAAGCTTGGGTCCACTTCACTAAAGCCCCCTTCAGACAGGCCATGAAAAACGGAGATGTTCCGGACTCTGTCCGTAAGACCTTTGTGTCTGAATACAAACATCCGGATAACGTGTTCCGGACTTTAACCGGACGAAGCCCCTAGTAACAGGTCCAGACTTGTTACGGACAGGGTGGCTGCTTCAGACTGGTGAGGTAGAGTTCCAGACAAGGGGGAGGAGGAGGGGACCGGGGGACGCCGTGCGCACCTAGATAGCTCGCTGCTGTAGCATGCGGCGAACCACGGCAGCTCGCCTCCTACAGTACCGCCTAGACGCGCAACGGAGTGCTTCACACCGCTTCAGTGATTCCTTTGACCATTGAGCTTCATCATCCAGGTCTCTTATGCGTCTTCGTGTGCGCAGAATTATGCTTAAGCGCCTCATGATTTTTATCTTGAGAGGCGCTATAGAAATGATATTTTCTTCTTCTTCTTAACATGAGTCCGATTCCCCCCCCCCCCCCCCCCCCCACCAGACATCTGGAACTTCTCCCTGCTGTGTGAACGCAGCCGAAAGGACAAGTTCCAGTACAAAAGTGGTGTGTCTGAAAACAGTTCCGGTTAAAAACCGGATTGAATTGTCTGCAAACGTTCCAGAATGTCTATCTGAAAAGGGCTTAAATGTGATGGGTAACTGGGTGATGATGAAACCAGCGACAACGATCTAAGTGAGACATCCTCATCTTAATCTGCTCCGGTAGGTAAATAAAATGTTTAAGATAACGTTAGCTTGATATGTTAGCTTCCGTTCTGCTAATGGTGCGTTCGCTTTCTCCTCGGAACTCCGAATTTCCGACTAGAAGAACACGAACGCGCTCTAAAGTTTGGCTGCACTTTACTAAATGCGACGGGTGATTGGGTGAAGATGAAACCAGTGACAACGATCTAAGTGTGAGGCATCATCGTTTTAATCTGCTCCAGCAGCTAAATAAACTGTTTAAGATAACGTTAGCTTGATATGCTTGCCACCATTGTTATCAGCTAATGATGCGTTCGCTTTCTCCTCGGAAATTCTAACTTCCCAGTAGGAAAAATCAATTGAAAAAGGACGGTAAAAGGAATGAAGATAAACAGTAAATTTAGTTCACAGTAAAGATGTTTGCTTCAGTTTAATTATCAGCTTATAAAACTGCAAGGACGATGTTAAAATACAAACAGTTGAATGTTATTTATCGTGATATTTATCAAATATGGTTATATGTTGAGAAAAATATGTATTTAATTATAAAAGAGAATTAAAATATTAAACACTCAAAAGTATCTAAAATTGGTACCGTTAAGTACCGGTATCGATTCCTAGGTACTGGGAATTAGTACCAAATACATGCAAATGTCAAAGGTACCCATCCCTACGCATATGTGACGTCACCACATAATCTCCTCTCCCCTAGCGTAGCTGCTACTTACCACATGACCAGATTTATGGTGGTTCTTTCCTCCTGTGGGAAGTATGCTGAACTTACATCCCTTTTCCCTCAGTTTTCTCCATGTCTGGTTTGATGACGTCACTTTCGTGAAGCGCGTTTGTAGTCCTGGACATATTTTCACACAACACCTAAAATATTGTTTCCCCCGTTCAAAAATAAGCGCGGTCTTGGTATCAAAATATGTCTTTAAAAATCACGGACATCATATGTGAAATCCATGGCACAAAACAAGCGGAGTTAGAAAATAGCGTTTTTAGCCCCGTTGACTTGCGTTCATTTTTTCGTTCTTTTGGGGACCCGTGGTCCGGAAGTGAGTTAGGCTCCCTATACCTCCGCTTACTCAGCCTGGAGTTTACCCGACGATGCCCATTGACCCAACTCTGTGCCCAAGCTGCTCTCCATCTTCAGCAGCACATACCTGAGTGAGTCTCACTGATGAACACCTTCCTCAGCTCAGAATCAGAATATTTGTAAATAACTATCTATAGAAATAATCACAAAAATTAAATGGTATCTAAATAAAACTAATATGAATCTAATAATTTAAAATCAAATCAAATTCATAGCTGAACCTGAATATTTAAAATTAATTCTAAATATTTACTGATAAATCTTAATATTTTGAATCAAACCAACACACAGTTTCCACAGAGTCTTAAAAAGTAATCAAATACCTCATTTATTCAACTACAAGTTAGGCTTGCAAAGCATGCAAACTCCATACAGAAAGGCTTCAGACGGGTTTGAACCTGCAACCTGCTTGCTGCTAGGCAACAGTGCTACCAGCTGTTCCACCATGCAGTTGTCAATCTAAATATTCAGATTTAATTATCTAAGTTTAGAATCAACCCTAAATGTTTAGGTTGAACAGTTTTATCGTCCGAAGCTAAAGGTGCAAAAATGGCACCATCGGTACTCCATACAATCATCCTCAGGTTATACAGGAAAACTTCTGTCACCTCTTCCCATCACTCACTCACTCACTCACTCACACACACACACACACACACACACACACACACACACACACACACACACGAGCCTGATGAAGAATGCCTGCACAGCACCTCGCGTTAACGTCTGCGTGCGTCACGCACACGGACACAAGGCCCATTATAGTAACACAATGAATCCGTTTGTTGACGCGAGCGACAATCCCGCATCTGGACAGGAGACCCGGCCCGGGGCCTGCTCCGTTCACACGCTGCGGCGGCACATGATGCTCCCCAGCCGCTGCGTCCCCCGGACAACATCTGGATGTCTGACAGCCAGATGTTTGTGGCTAAATGTGATTTTAACGTTGCTCGTTATTTCCGCGTTGATCTCCAACATGTACTAGACTGGAGGAACACAAACTAGTCAGAGTTTTTAGTTTACAATTACATTTTAATTCCATTAAACGGCACCATGTTGGAGCCGAATTTAGCGGAAGGCGGCGGAGGACTGATAGAAACCTCCGCGGGCCGTCCGGGGGCGGCTGGAGCAGCGGGAGCGTTCGGAAATATGAAATAATGTTTCTAGAGAGGAGGTTAGGCGGGACGGTGTTTGGAAGCGCGAAGGCGGCCGGGTGTGTCTTCCTGTTGTGATTTCTCCAGCTTTCCGGGCTCGGTCTGTTCGGACACCCCCGCTGGACGCTCCGGTGGAGTTCTGACAGGAAAGCCCGGCGTCGCCGGTCGGTTGGCTAGGCGGACGGTTGAGGCCCCTCCGGGCGTCCGCTCCCCGCTACGGCGCTTCCTGCCGGCAGCCGCAGACTAACAGCAGCCCGTAACGCGGTAAAACTGCATGAAAGCCCGTCGGTGAAGCCCCGTCGGTCATACCTTGTGTTCCGGTGTGTTGGAGCGGCCCGGAGACCGTTAGGATCCCTAACAGAGACGAGCCATTGTCCTGCTGCCGTCGCTGATCCCTGCTGAGTGCCTCCTCCTCCTCCTCCCTTCGCTCATCTTCCTCCATCCCTCTCTCTCTCCTGCTCGCTCTTCCCTGCTTCTGCGTATCATCCGCTTTCTCTGCCCATCACGCCCACCATCCATTAGCACTCCGGGTGATCAAATAAAATATATTAGATATTAAATCTGGTGGCTGATTTCTGAGGGCAGGTTGTGACTTTTAACGGATAAAGCGGCGGTTCCCACCGCCGAGCTTTACTGTTGAGGGTGATATGCAGTGCTACAGCGACCCCTGCCGGCCAGACCAGTAAAGATTTCTATAGTCCAGTTGCTCTGCAGATGCAGGAGAGGGAGGGAGGGAGGTGGGTGGGTGGGTAGGTAGGTAAGAAGATAAGTAGGGTGGTACTGAGGTAGGTAGGTGGGTAGGAAGGAAGGTAGGTAAGTAGATAAGTAGGTTTGTATTGAGGTAGGTAGGTAGGTGATAGGTATTGAGATAGGTACGCTGTCATGTTCTGTGTCCCCTTGGTCCTCGGCCCCCTCCTGTTCTTCCTCTGCGTTCTCCTCATGTGTCCCCTTGTGCTCTGTGTCCTTATATTTCCACAGCCCACTCAGGTTCTCCTCACGTCTTCTTGTGGTCCCCAGCTCCCTCTAGGCTTCCCTCGTTTCCTAGTCACTCCCTTGCAGTTCCTATTTGTTTGCATTAGTCCTCCTCATTAGTTGTTTATCCTTGCCCTTAGTTTCTAGGTTTAGTTATTTAGTGTTTTATAGGTTACGGTTTATCTTCCCCTCTGCTTAGTTCCTTCCACATGTAGTTTATTGATGAGAACTGTCTTTCCTCTAGACCTCTCACCTGTTCCCGATTGCTTCCCTCTGTGTTTAAAAACCCTGTTGGTCCAATGTCTGTGTCAGCATTGTTTTGTTTCCTCACCTGGTCTCTAGTTACCTGCTCAGAAAGTGAGCTTTTTTGGTTTTGTCAAGGATTTAGATATTTGGCTTGGCTTCCTGCCCTTTTGGATTTTATTTTTGTTCCCCATCCTAATAAAAGGAGTTTTTATTTTACGTCCACTTCTGCCTCGTGTCGTTCTGGGTGTTCTGCATTTTGGGTCCTAACCTCCTGCTCTCAACGTGACATACGCATGTAGGAATGTATTGAGGCAAGTAGATATGTAGAAAGGTAAGTAGATAAGTAGGGTGGTACTGAGGTAGGTAGGTAGGCAGGTAGGGAGGGGGTAGGTGGGCTGGTGGCTACAGCACCCACATCCCCCACCGAACCCTGAATCGGAGCCAAGTTCTACAGGGAGATCTGTTTTCTACCAATCCTGCCTTTCCCAGGATCCACCGATTACCTTTATCCCCTTTGCTCACTTTTTTAATCTCACACATTTTACGTTTCCCATTTTTTATATTTTAAACTCATTTTTTAATGTTATTAGTTTTTAGTACTTGTGAAGCTGTGGTGTTTACCTGGAGAGGTGCCATGAAAAAAAAAGACCGGTTCTTCTTCTTCCTCATCAAACTGAAAGCAACCTGCAGGTTTGCCCAAAGGCACTTTGGAGACTCTTGGTCTAGATGAGACTAAATACCGACCTGAAGGTTGAAGACATCAATGCAATTACTTGTTTTATGCCGCACATTTTTCTTGTCATTTTGTAGAAATCAGTGTTCGTTTTGACATTAAACGGTTTTGGTGAAAGAAGCCAAATTATGTCAGTTACCTTTAGTGCATTTATTCATCTATTGGTGATTTTATTATTTATCCTCAGTAGAAAACACAGGTGACCAGCAGGGGGCAGCAGCGTCAGCGGTCAAGTCCAGTTTTCTGACACATAGAAATCATTTTAAACCCCTTTTATTATTCCTAAGTGGGAGTGACAGCGGCACAGCAGATCCACAACAGGAGCAGAAACACAACTAAAGCTCGACCATGAGAGAATACTTAGGATTGGGCTGAATTTACAGCACTTGAAAAACAAAATACTGGGTGATAATTATAACAAAAATCATTGTGCATGGAGTCTGCATGATCACAGCATGCCCTATAGGTTATAAATCGTAAGTCACTTTGCATAAAAGCATCTGCCAAATAAATAAACATAAACATGTTCTCCCTGCGCATGCGTGGGTTCTCTCCGGGTTCTCCGGCTTCCACCCACAGTCCAAAAACATGACTGCTAGGTTGATTGGTCTGTCTTTGTCCTTAGGTGTGTGTGTGTGTGTGTGTGTTGCCCTGTGATGGACTGGCTCCGTCCAGGGTGTACCCCGCCTGATTGCCCGACCGAATCAGTCTTGAGGCTAGATGAACTCTGACCTTCAGAGAGGCTTCCACATATGCAGACATTGGCTTGTTGCGCTGCCACACGTTTAGGTGAGGCCGTAGTTAGCTTAGCTGCTAACTTTAGTTACAGAGACATAGCTTTGTTAGCACCGTGATGAAAACCCACTCAGGTGTTTCCTGCAGCGGTTCTCAGCTCCAGTCGGAGCCAAACCTGGATTAAAACATAAAATAAGCACAACACGAGAGGTTGAAATGCTTTTATTTCACTTTATATCTTATCCAACCGCAAGCAATTACAGATCATAATCCTAAAATAAAGGTCGGCACAAAAAGCTGCAGGTTGTCTGGGCGAGAGGAGGCACCAGCCGTTCACGTGGGATGGATGAACTTCCTGTGACTGAAACTACGTCGGCTCTCCAGCTATTCGTGTTTATAAAAGCCGAAAATCGGAATCATTAAACCCATCCGGTGGGAATATTTATGGCTGAAGTCGTTTCAAAGGAGCTCAGGTCAGAAGTGAATGACCTTCAGTCTAGAAGAACCCTGGTTGGGACAGGAAGTTCTACTCATAATGCTCCCTCTGCCCTTTAACCTTTACCCCCCTCCCCTTCCCTCCACTAGCGTTGCTGAGTGAGAAACGCTGCATTCAGCTGCTGAAGACACATCCTCCCCAGGTCTCGTGCTTGGTTCCTGGTTTCAGGTGGGTGATGGTCACCTCCACCGCCTGGACCTTCTCGTTTTTAGGAGGGATGGAGCAGACCTTGTAGCGCATCTCATCTCCTTCCACTGGCACGTACTCCCCCTCAATGCTGGAAGGAGACGAGGAGACCCCGTTACTAAAGAGTAAAAGCCTGGAAAACGTCCCAGTCATGCTTATGGGGTGGGCGGGGCCTAAAAGGTACATCCCGTGGGTTTCAGGTGCATTTTAACCCATCTGGACACAAGAACCTGCGTGATCATTCAAACAAACACATCTTGTGTTTAAACACGAAAAACAAATCAAGCCTCAGTCAGACTTCCTGCGTCGTCCGTCAGCCAATCAGAGGGACTTCTGACACGAGTCATCACACAAACCAGAGCAGCTGTTTTCACACAGAGGGAGATGATGAGCTCTGTGGGTTCTGATCGAGTCAGAACCTCGGCTCGTTCCTTTAGAACGGCGCCGGCAGACGTTTTAAACCCGTGATGCCTGTGGGTGAAACAAAGCAGCAGCCAAGGTCGGCTGTCCTCCTACTCACCTCCCACTCCGCCTGACACACACACACACACACACACACACACACACACACACACACACACACACACACACACACACACACACACACACACACACACACACACACACACACACACACACACACACACACACACACACACACACACACACACACACACACACACACACACACACACACACAACTTACTCGGAGATGTGGACGAAGATGTCGGCGCCTCCGTCCGATGGCGTGATGAAGCCGTGGCCTTTGGAGCGACAGAAACATTTGCACACGCCGGTGAACACGGGTCCCTCGGCGGCTCGGGCCGCCCTGTTCAGCAGACGGAGGAGGTGGACGTTAGTACGACCAGAACTCTGGTCTGCGTGACAACACCAACAGGTTTAGCCCTTTAAACAGGTCAGAACAGGTTTCAGACGGACAAACGGGTCCGCGGGTTGGTTAAGTCAAACCTGGTTCTACAGGTGTGAGCAGGATCGGACCGCCGTGCCTCGGTGACACCAAGAAGGGAAACATGGAGACAGAAGGAGCTGGAAGACGTTTTGGTTTTAGGAGCAGCCAGAGGAAGCACGCGAGGCCCAATGACATCAGGCAGACGTTTATCTAAACCCCCATGTTTATTTTTCAGCGTTGCCATGGTAACATTCTGATTTTAACAAAGTGCACACTTACAAATTAAACGAATCAGCAGCAGCATCATTGTGAATGAAATGTTACTGAGCTTTCACAAACATGCAGGAGGTGTTTTTATTCCTCAGCTGCGTCGTTGGAGGAGCAGACAGCAGAGGAACGCTGGCGCCAGAGACGACGTGTTTGTGTGGAAGCTGAGCGGTCGAGGTCAGTGGTTGAGGAACGGTGCTTTTGTTTACTGCTCCTTAGCAATGGTGCATTCACTGACCGGGGAAAAATAATCCCATTTCTGAGTTTCCCACCAGCTGACGGGCAACGACGCCCCAATTCCAATCGACGGCCAGTTTCTGGGTGCATCTCCAACCAGAGGGCCGAGTAAAGGTGCAACTTATTATAAACAGGGTGAGAATGTAATCAAAGTAAGTAAAACTACACTACAAAACCAGAGTAAAACATTTAGTATTTACATATGTAGAACTTTAACAAAAAACACAAGACATCCTCCAAAACAGCGAGCTCTTGGACTTCCTGCTGCCTTTAACCCACACGCCAGACGACGCCATCGCCATCACCCAACTACAGACACGTCCTAATTCCATGCTTTCGTTCTTTTTTAAACACAGAAACAGTTTTGTCTACCTGTTTTGTAGCTATAGTTTCGCCGATAAAAAAGAACGAAAGCATGGAATTAGAACCACGACACAGCAAGAACACACCTAAGATGTTTACAGACACGTCCGCTGATGCAGGTGAAAGTAAGAAAGGGGAAGCACCGAGCTAAAACCAGAGTGAACATTGGCGTGGTCTACGCTAGTTTGAGGGAGCTACAGGAGGCTGCAAAATCATACCGATGGTGACCTGGCTTTGTTATATTATTTTGTCAAACAGGGTGGATCTCTTTACTTCGTGGTTTATTTTAGTATTAGCGGGCTCGTGTTGGTGTCAGCTCATTGTTGGGCTAGCTACAACAGGCTGCTGCAGGCTTGCTTACGACAGTTCCACTTTCAACCAGTAGGAGGGAGAAACGAGTAACTTATTATTGTTTTAAGCATTGCCTAATGTGATTGTGTGTGTGTGTGTGCGTGCGCGCTCACGCTGAATAGGTCCGGTTCCTACGAGTGGGCAGCGGGCTGGGGATGAGGAAGCCTCTCAGCGGAGACGGTGAGCGTTCCCTAAACTTGTCGGTCGGAAGGTGAAGGGACTCTGGAGGAGGAATAAAAACAAGAAAACATCTGTTGTTGTTTGTTTTCTGAGTTGCATCAAACCCGAACCGGGGTGGTTCTCAGGCTCAGCTTCGCCCTCGTGTGCCCACGGGCTGATCCAGTACAGCCAGAAACATCTGCTCCTAACCATCTATCGGGAATGGAAACATGTTAGAAAATCACCCCCCTCCTCGGGAAACGATAGCCTGATTGTTTGGTCTCAGAGACGAGATGCCGTCGTCATTTTCCATGAATGGAATGTCTTCAGGTGTTTTCCTGAATAAGGATTTATCCGTTTAGAAAACGCCGTGTTGTGCATGTTAGGGCCTCTTCTGCTGATGGTCACCACAGCAGGAACGACCACGTCTGAGTGGAGGGAGACTTTCAGAAGAGGAGCATAAAGGGACATCGTTGGATGGAAGTGGAGGCCAACGATATGGATCATGTTCCATCCAAGTATCCACGTTCAGAACTTTAACCAGAATTTATTCTAACTGGCAGAGAAGGGTTAGTCGTTCCTACGATCGGTACCAGAGGCGGTCCGTGTTGACGGAGAAGCCCCTGATGGCAGCAACCTCGGAGAAATCAGGATCACGGGTGTGTGATCATAACCCGCCGTACCTGGAGAGCTGGGAGAGTGGAGAGGAGGGGTCGTGGGTTCGGACTCCTGGACAGGTGTGGTCTGAGAAGACATGTTGGCCAGGCCTGACTCTGATGTATCACCTGGGGAGAGAGAGGGGCAATCAACATGGATGTAGACAGGTCACTCACACACACACACACACACACACACACACACACACACACACACACACACACACACACACACACACACACACACACACACACACACACACACACACACACACGTAGTTGTGATCAGCCAGCTGAGTGGTCACAGCCCTGGTTACCGTGACAACAGCTGTTAGAGAACGGCCAGGAGGAAAGCAGAGTATTTATTCAACTCTGTCCTCATCACACATCAGACTGAGCTACCGAGGTCAACCAATCAGAAGAGCTCCCCTCGTGGTCGCAGCTTCCTGCTGGAAGGTGAACAGAATAAACGAAGCAGGAAGAAGCAGCTCAGCTTCTTCAGGAGGTGTGATGCAGAAACGATGAGCTCTCCAGGTAAAGAAGACGAAAAGATCATTTCTATAGCGCCTCAACATTAAAACCACGAGGCGCTTCACAGAAACAAAAAATGTAAAATATAATAATTTAGAAAATGACTAAAAATATATTTAAAATGAGCAAAAATAGACAATTGTGATTAAACATGTAAAGAAAGAGAGAGAGTGAACAGGAAAGAGGGAAACCAGTGGATCCTGAGGAAGGTGGAATAGGTGGGGAGAGCAGAATAAAGAGAGAGAGGTGAAGAAGGTCATACAAAAGCCAGCTTGAACAAGTGAGTCTTCAGCTGCTTTTTAAAGGAGACCACTGAGTCCACTGATCTCAGGCTCAGGGGGAGAGAGGTCCAGAGTCTGGGGGCCACAGCAGCAGATGATCTGTCACCTTTGACCTTTAGCCTGGTGCTGCACAACCAGTAGGCTTTGATCACTGGACCTCAGGGACCTGCTGGGGGTGTAGGGACTAAGAAGATCACCAATGTAAGATGGTGCTTGTCCATGTAAGGCCCTATAGACCAGAACCAGGATCTTGAAATGAACCCTGAAGTTGACTGGCAGCCAGTGAAGCTGGAGGAGAAGCGGGGTGATGTGGGTGTGTTTGGAGGACTTGGTCAGAAGCCGAGCACAGGCGTTCTGAACCACCTGTAGACGGTTCAGGGAGGTTCTGCTCAGACACGTGAAAAGAGAGTTACAGTAGTCTAAGCGTGAGGAGATGAAGGTGTGGAGAACTGTCTCAAGTTCAGAGCGGGACAGAATGGGACTCAGCTTAGCAACGTTCCTGAGATGGAAGAAGGAAGAGCGAACAAGAGAACTGACATGAGAATCCAGGGTGAGAGCTGGGTCAAAGGTCACGCCAAGATTCCTGACAGAAGGTTTGGTGTGAGAAGCAAGCTGACCAAGAGAGTCTCTGACTTTGGGAACCAGCTTGTCTGGGGCACAGATGAGGATCTCAGTCTTGTCTTCATTCAGCTGAAGAAAGCTCCCACCATCCAGGTTTTGATAGAGTCTAAGCAGGTGTGTAACAGCTGCAGCTTAGACATCTCATGGGGCTTAAAGGAGATGTACAGTTGGATGTCATCTGCATAAAGATGGTAGGAGATTCCTTTGAAGGAGCTCAGGATGTGCTGAAGAGGAAGCAGATAGAGGAGGAAGAGCAGAGGTCCCAGCACAGAACCTTGTGGGACACCATGGGTAAGGGAGGTGGTGGAGGACCTAAACTTGGAGACGGCCACAGAAAAAGGAGCACTCGGAAAGATCCAGCTACATCCAGCTATTCTTCTGGAAGGAGGATGGAGTCTCGCTCAGAGAGAACAGACCCTGGACGTGTCGCCGTCCGTCAGAGAGCCGTTTAGGAACTGATGCATTTCTGAGGTAATGATGTGTCTGCTTGGTGTTTCCAGCCTCCTCTGCTGCTTCCATGCACAGATTCAGTGGTTCCAGCGTGGTAAATGTAGACACCAACATGGGCCAGCTTCACAGGCGGGCCTCTTTATTCGTTCTGGATAGGCTCCAGAGCTGCAGCCCCACAGTTGAGCAAGTTCACGCTAACAAAAACTGTGGGCTAAAATAATCATCAGGTCCGGAGCTGGAAACAAAGCAGAAAATAGCTGAGCATCAGTATGAATCAGCAAGAGAAAATCCTGTAGGGATGGTCCCAGCTCCCTCCAGGGAATTCTGCTGACACTTCATCTGACCCGCCCATGTTGGTGGTAGTCAGAGGGGCTGATGGGGCAAAATGGCCGCCTCACCACAGATATTACGACGTGCATCCTGAGCTAGAGCGCATTCCCTTTATTTGTGCCGGCACCCTGTAGGTAAGCAGCCCTGGTCGTCACGCCGGGCCTCGACCAATCCGGTATGAAATCCCAGGTTCTGACTGGCTTGTTTGATTTGGCTTTTCCACCAGATGCCCGTGCTGAGAGAACCCTCTGCATTTATCCAGATGTGGGACCGGCACAAGGAACCACTGGCTCATGACCTTTTATGACCTTTCTAATGAAAACACTATTGATCCCAGTAAAATGGTGACATTAGTAAAAGGTCCTCCATCCATTTTTGGTCAGTATTTGGTTTCAGGAGGTGTTTTAAAAAGCTCCCTACTGTGATGTCACAATCAGGGAAGTTTACATAGATGCTCCTCTCCAGGCTGGTGGCTCTACAGGGAGTGCAGAATTATTAGGCAAATGAGTATTTTGTCCACATCATCCTCTTCATGCATGTTGTCTTACTCCAAGCTGTAAAGGCTGGAAAGCCTGCTACCAATTAAGCACATTAGGTGATGTGCATCTCTAATGAGAAGGGGTGTGGTCTAATGACATCACCACCCTATATCAGGTGTGCATAATTATTAGGCAACTTCCTTTCCTTTGGCAAAATGGGTCAAAAGAAGGACTTGACAGGCTCAGAAAGGTCAAACATAGTGAGATATGTTGCAGAGGGATGCAGCAGTCTTAAAATTGCAAAGCTTCTGAAGCGTGATCATCGAACAATCAAGCGTTTCATTCAAAATAGTCAACAGGGTCGCAAGAAGCGTGTGGACAAACCAAGGCGCAAAATAACTGCCCATGAAGTGAGAAAAGTCAAGCGTGCAGCTGCCAAGATGCCACTTGCCACCAGTTTGGCCATATTTCAGAGCTGCAACATGACTGGAGTGCCCAAAAGCACAAGGTGTGCAATACTCAGAGACATGGCCAAGGTAAGAAAGGCTGAACGACGACCACCACAGAACCAGACACACAAGCTGAAACGTCAAGACTGGGCCAAGAAATATCTCCAGACTGATGTTTCTAAGGTTTTATGGACTGTTGAAATGAGAGTGAGTCTTGATGGGCCAGATGGACGGGCCCGTGGCTGGACTGGTAAAGGGCAGAGAGCTCCAGTCCCACTCAGACGCCAGCAAGGTGGAGGTGGAGTACTGGTTTGGGCTGGTACCATCAAAGATGAGCTTGTGGGGCCTTTTCGGGTTGAGGATGGAGTCGAGCTCAACTCCCAGTCCTACTGCCAGTTTCTGGAAGACACCTTCTTCAAGCAGTGGTACAGGAAGAAGTCTGCATCCTTCAAGAAAAACATGATGTTCATGCAGGACAATGCTCCATCACACGCGTCCAAGTACTCCACAGCGTGGCTGGCAAGAAAGGGTATAAAAGAAGAGAAACTAATGACATGGCCTCCTTGTTCACCTGATCTGAACCCCATTGAGAACCTGTGGTCCATCATCACATGTGAGATTTACAAGGAGGGAAAACGGTACACCTCTCTGAACCGTGTCTGGGAGGCTGTGGTTGCTGCTGCACACAATGTTGATGGTGAACAGATCAAAACACTGACAGAGTCCATGGATGGCAGGCTTTTGAGTGTCCTTGCAAAGAAAGGTGGCTATACTGGTCGCTGATTTGATGTTGTATTGTTTTTGAATGTCAGAAATGTATATTTGGGAATGTGGAGATGTTATATTGGTTTCACTGGTAAAAATAATTAATTGAAATGGGTATATGTTTGTTTTTTAAGTTGCCTAATAATGATGCACATTAATAGTCACCTGCACACACATATCACCCTAAAATAGCTACAACTACAAACAAACTACAAACTACTTCCAAAAACATTCAGCTTTGATATTAATGAGTTGTTTGGGTTCATTGAGAACATGGTTGTTGTTCAATATTAAAATTATTCCTCAAAAATAAAACTAGCCTAATAATTCTGCACTCCCTGTAGAGCTGGGGCCTCTAACCTTTTTTTAGCTCATGAGCTACTTTTACACAACGAAAGTACCGAAGAGCTACCACCATACGACTTATTCAGATCGACTCTTTCCACGTGTGAAGATGTTAAAGTTAAAAATGCTTGACTTACTACATTAACATGAGTTTTATTCACGAGTTTATTTCAATATTATTATAAAAACAGTAGAAGGGAGATAGGGACACTGAAAATCCAACTGAAAACATTTTTTTTATTAACTAATCAGATACTTTCAGATAATCAAATCTACTTTGTGTGAATGATTTTACGTTTATTTTAGAACGGATCAGTAACTTTACTTTGTGGGCGGTCCCTGACCCGGAGCCCCGCCCTAAGCAGCAAAGTTAGTCAAAAATGAACAATTACTTCCAAAAACGATTGAATGCCATTTAATGGCATTCATTACAAAACCTGTTATGATTATATTATTATTACTCAAATACAAGCTAAATGTGACGAAAACAACCTTCTAAATGGTTTGAATGAAAACTCCTGATTTATTTAACCATTCTTATGTTTTTTTTTCTTTTCTCATGAAAGTTACGTTTTGCTTCACCATTGAATAGCTGCAGGTAAATGATGCATTGCTGCGTTCATATTAACTCGTCGTCGTCGTCGTCTTCCTCCGCTTATCCGGGTCCGGGTCGCGGGGGCAGCATCCCAACTAGGGAGCTCCAGGCCGTCCTCTCCCCGGCCTTGTCCACCAGCTCCTCCGGCAGGACCCCAAGGCGTTCCCGGACCAGATTGGAGATGTAACCTCTCCAACGTGTCCTGGGTCGCCCCGGGGGCCTTCTGCCGGCAGGACATGCCCGAAACACCTCCCCGGGGAGGCGTCCAGGAGGCATCCTGACC